AGACCTCTGCCTCTATAAAATGGTCAGTGCGGGAAGCGTGGCCCTGGCTATGTGCCAGCCGCAAACACCCTGTAGTGTATATACCTTTTCCTGTAGTGGCCCCGGGCACACCACCTAGTACACACTTCCCAAACTGTGGTCTGAGGAGCCCAAGTTCCCTGGGATGGCATCAGGCTCTAGGACGCATGGGCATACAGAGTCTGGAAATGCTATATCACGTAAGTCACAACAGGACTTCTCAGGGCCCTTACTGTATTGACATGAAGTAGGGGTCCCAGCAGGTGGTACAGTGTGCAGCCAGCCTTTCCCAAGCTTGCTTGAACATGCAACTCCATTGTCACAGAGCGCGAGGTCCGGGATGAATAGTCTAGAGAAAACCCTTCGGGAAGTTAGCAAACCCTCACTTTCCCATTTTGCACAAAGAAGCCTCCAGCTATAGCATGCTTCCTGCCCAGGGCCGTTTGATTTTGAGAGGATCACAGGGAGAGGTTTAGCCCCAGGATAGAATTGATGATAATGATGGCATTTCAGGAAGCAGGGGAATGTGGAAGGTGGAGGTACTTTTATCCTTTCATCCACCAGACTAACGAATCTCGGACATCTACTGTGTGCCAGGCACAAAGCCAGCGTTTGGAAATACCACGACGAGCCTGACTAAGAACCTTCCATCTCATTTCCCCGTGCCCACTAAGAGTTTTCAAAGGAAGACAAATAAAAACCTTAAAAGGAAGAGTGATTTTTCTGGGTCTTTGTGGTGGGTGGGTACTTGACACATTTACTCAATTCAGTGAAGCTTCAGTACCAGATCTGAGGCGTGTGCATGAGCCAGTGCCAGGAACACTCACTCTAGGCAGAGGGCACTGATGTTGTAAGGGAGGTCAGTGGAGTGGGGAGGCTCAGAACAGGGCTGGAGGGAGGGAGACTTCCCTTGGGATTAGCCTGACCTGCGGGGTGTGGAGGGGAGGGGAAGGGGGACTTGAGTGAGGCTTGCAAAGAGGGCAGAGGTTACCTGTGCGGGGGATTAGAGGTGGATTGGCTCTGGCCAGCTGGAAGAGCAACAGCAGAGCAAAGGTGTAGAGGTGACAACAGGTGGGTTACATCTTCAGGACACTGTAAGGAGCCTGGGGTGATAGGGGTAGAGGGAGGAAAAGGGGGTGTCTTTGAAGGTGGGCTGGGGAAGCTGGCTGGGGCAGATCCTGAGGTCTGAACACTGGTTGAGTGGGTGCCTACCTGACTGGGCCAGACCCTGTCACATTCATCCCAATGTCCCAAGCACCTGGCTGGCACCTGGTAGGTTTGTGGACTGACTGGACTCTTCCACTGTGGGACCTTGGACACGTCCTTCCCCTCTCTGTACCTTGTGTTCCTCATGCTCATGGCCTGGCCAGGTCACCTAGCACACACCCCTTTCAGCTCTGAAGGGCTCAGGAATTCTTGTGTGTGTGCAAGGGAAGACCAGACTATTTCCCCCACAGCCTCCAGGTCTGCCAGTGACCCTGTGGACCCTGTGTGGGGGACAGCCCATTTGCTGGGTGGCAGGCAGGCTGGCTCTACTTTCTCTCTTCCTTCAGTGGGTGGCCCTCTGAGCTCAGGATGAAGTGCCCTGGTGTTCTCCATGATGGCTCTTATAGGCCCCCAACTGTGATTTGGAGGAGAAGGCAGTGGAGCCAGGCTGGGGTTGAAGGTTGTGTGCATGCCACAGCTTGGTGCAAGGTAGGAAGTTCTGCTGCTTCTCTGTGAAAATGGACAAGTTGCTTCAACTCTGAGCCTCAGTTTCCTATCTGTAAAATGGGAACAACAGTAACTCTTACTCCCACACTGCGCTTTTGTAAGGTACAATGAGATAAAATTTGTGAAAGCACATAGTAAACTGACTCACCCTGCATGCATGGAAACAGTTCTTGTTGGTAATTGTATTTATTGCTCCAGTTTTCATAATCCACCAGGCCTCTGGCCCACTTACCCCTTTGCCAGAAGTGCTCCCTGGTGACTGCTCACTATTCTCCGTGTGCCTTCTCCTGCTGGGTTCATTTTATCCAGGCCAAAGCGATAGGAGCACATGAATTATGTACAAGTTGCACATGCAGATCAGGGTGTGTGTTTGCACTCTTGTGTCTGTGCGCACTTAAATAGCAAGAGAATCAGCCTGCTGGGTCTTGGGACCAAATACTAACCCCTCCCCAGCCATATCCCAGAGACCTGCAGAGTATTAGGTTTGGCCTCTGTGGAAGTATGGGGAGCACATATCAGGAACTCCTCCTCCCGAGCTTATCTGTACTGCTCACAGGCGGAGTCCAACAGGACTTGCCCACATGCAGGGGACTCTGGCTTGTGTCCCTCTTAGCTGGGAGTTGGGGGGACATTGGGCCTAAGGGGCAGAACAAGGCTGTCACCCCTCCATCCCCTCCACTTCCCAGCTGGTACCAGGAAGTGTAAGTTGGTGCAACTCTGATTTCTGGTGTGGATGCAACTTTATTTCAGCAGGGCCTGGTGCGCCTGCTCTGGGGCGCCCTGGAAACTCTCACACATAGTGCTTGGTCAAAGCTGCCCTGGCCAGGATGGGGTGCAGGGGTAGAGGGCTGGGCTATGCCCAGCCTTTCCCCCAGAGTTTTGTGGGTCCCTCTCAATGCCCTTGCTCCTGAGTGGCTCCCAGATGGTGTCCTAGACCCACCAGGGCTGGGGTTGGGGGCAGACAGCTGGGCTCAGCTGGTATCTGGAGGCACTGCAGTTGTTGCCTCTGCTGGGGTTAGCATGGGGTGGAGGGGGAGGGCAGGGAGCAGGCAGAGAGAAGAATATGATGGAGGATCAGTGTAAACTTAAGCAGTTTATTGAGAAAAGAGCCCAGTGAACATGAACATCAATTCTCCACTGTCTTTAAAAGGCCTGACACCACTGAGTTCCTGACCCAGCTCCACCCCATGCCTGTGCAACCTTGGATTTGTGACATGGCCACTCTGAGCGCTGCCTAGGCCAACCTCACAAGGCTGGTGTGAGGTCAAATCAAACCACCCAGTGGGTGGGACACCCAGTAGGGTGCTGGACACATAGTAGGCCACTGATTTTCAGAGAGGATCTAATTCCAGCCCAGAGCAAAGAGATTGGGTTTTTAGATACTTGACCTGTGGTCTCTCTAAGCAAGAAGGAGGAAATTGTCGAGCTCCTTGAATGGTCAGTACAGCTTAGACATGTTCTTAACTTATGACCCCAGCAGAGGATCCTCCAAATCACTGGGGCATGGGGGGAACCTCCCTCTGGGGCCAGGCGAAGCAGTGTAGCAAGGCAGCCCTGGGTGCAAGTCCTGACTGAATAGTTGCCCTTGGCCTAGGGTAAGTCTCTAATCTCCCTGTACCTCTAAAAGAAAAGTAAAGGATACCTAATTCTCAGCTCTGTGAGAGTCAGATGAGAAATTATCTATAAAACTCATTGAGGGGAAAAAAGCAACGCATACACTGTAGGTTCTTGGGGAAGTCCGGGGATGGGAGGCCCCAGGTGCAGGCCAGTGGCTCGGAAAACCAAGGCTGGGTTCCCATGCGGGTGACAGGCAGGCTCTGTGAGGCCAGTAGAGGAGCCTCATTTGCTTTCCTTAATGGGACAGCTGGCTAATTAGCCTCTGAGTGTTCCTGACAAGTGCCCATGTGCACGTTCCTGACACATGTCAGGGTCAGACCTTGCCAGATCATGTGATGCTCAGCTGGCCAGCCCTGGGCATGAATCTGTGACCCACTGTCCTATCCCCTGATTTTTAGCTTGTCCCTCAGATGACCCTGTGGAGCAGTTATTGTACTGGGGAGCAAAGGAGCAGGAGACAGCCCTGCCCCAGGAGCCTTGGTTCCAGGTGGGTGGAAAAGGGGAACCCAGAGAAGGATCACTGGTGGGGACCTAGCCAGGGGATGGAGGACAGTCAGTGGGAATGATTCTGTCCGACTCTGCCACCAATTCTGTGACCTTGAAAACCTGACCTTTCTCTCTGGGCCTCAGTTCTGCATCTAAAAGAGGATGCTGGAAGTGGTGGTCTCAGGGAGCTGTGCCCTAAAGCGAAGCAGTGTGAGGAATGGTCTCTGAAGCCAGCCAGGCCTGGGGTTCTCACCCTGGCTACCCCATCTCCCAGGCTTGACCTTGAGTAGGTCGACCAGCCTCTCTAGGCCTGTCTGACGGGGTGTGCTGGCCCTGCTGGCACAGAACAGGCACTGATAGTGGACTCCCTGCCCAGCAGTGTCTGGTGTTGGTGGGCCTCAGGACAGCTTGGCCTGTCCCCTCCTCCTTTCCCTGTTTCTCCCACAGTGCCCAGAAGTTCCCCTGGAACTCTCGCCCCAGGGAACTGGGGGGCGGGGGAGCATTGCTGACTTCATTGTTGAGTCTGTGTGGGCTGTACATGCCAGGGGCCCCAGGGTTGGGATGGAGCCGACCATTCTTTGCTTTTTAAGGGGAAGGAGAGGTGCACATACTAGAGCCCAGCCTCAGGTCCTTGACTGCATCTTGGAACCTTGATCCTTTAGAACCATGGAATCTTTCTATTCCCAAATCTTGGAAGCACTGAATCATGGAACCTTAGAATCTTGGTCCTTTGGAATCAAGACTTTGGGAACCATATTGGATTTGGAAGTGACCTTAGGGATTGTCTGACCCAGTCCTCCATCCAGCGCAGGCAGCCCTTCTGCAGACCCCCTGGACTGCCTGCTGTCAGGAGCTCATTCTGCAGCCTCCTAGTGTGGACCTCAGGCTTCAGTCCGGTCACAGGGATGTTCACCATCTTCTTGTAGTTGTGATTGACCTCCAGGCCCACACTGCTGAGGCTGGTAGCACTGATGCACGGCATGGAAGGAACTAGCCCCTGCTTAGCTAAGAATAGAAGGCTTTGTGTGACTTAAGTAGCAGCCTGATCATATCAGGCCTCCCAGCCAGGCCCCAGGTAACTTATTAAGAAGGATTTGGGGCCACTGTGGGTCCTCCTGGGTGGAGGAGGGAAAGGGAGGTTGAGGGTGTTGCTGGGCTTCCCCTGGACTTCTCTCACTCGTTTCCACGTGATGATGATTTTACTTTTTCCATCAAGGCTCATTGCTCTTCCCTTCTCCCTGGGGCTGGCTGGGGATCATCACCAGCGTTCCTGGGGGAAAATCTCTTCTGGGAAGACTTCAAACAAATAAACCGGCCTCTGAGAGGAACAACAGGTTGGTGAAAATGGCTTTGTCTTCAAGTAGAATGCCATTGATGGCACCCATTTATTAAACACCTACTGTATGCTAGGCCCTGAGCTCAGTGTTTTGTGCCCTCGCCTCATCTAGCCCTCACAAGGGCACTATGGGGGTGGCCTTATTGCCATGATGCAGATGGGGATACTGAGACCCAGCTAGTACTTGGCAGAGCTGGTATTGGAACCAAGGACTGTCCCACCTCATTACTTCTGGGCCAAAGGATTCCTGAGGCAGGAGAAGAGGCGAGAGTCAGAATTCTTGGAGAGAGCCCTGGGCACGGAGGACTTGGCCACTCAGTGTCATAAATCATGCTTCGCCTTACATTAGAGTCCGTTCCACATTTGGCAGCATGGAGGAAGAGAAACGTACAGGGGTTGGGAAGAGGAATTATGATCCTATCACAGACATAGTAGGTATAGGCACCTGTTTGTTGAGTTGGAATGAAACCAAACTTCCTCTCTGAAGTAGGCAGACACTGCTCAGGGCAGGATCATGAGGCTGCAGCTCCTGATCCCTAGTGCTCCCTCTGGTGCCTTTCTCCTCCCCTTCCCCTCAGAGATTATTCCCAGTGTGAGAATGGGAAGGAATTCTGAGTCACCTTCTGATAGTCTAGATGGGAAGACTGAGGCCCCAGAAGGACAGAGACTGGTCCAAGGTCACACAGTAAGTGGGCCTGGGAACACACAGTAGGTGTTCAAGAAATCCCTTTCTCCAGGCCACTGCCTGTTCCCCTATGGGGCACTGCTTTTGTGTGGAGATCCGGAGGGCCTGTGATGGATGGGCTGGGAGATGGAGTCAGCTGGGTCCTGGGAGAGAGGCAGGGCCCAAAGACTGGAGCCTCTGTCTGCAGTGCCCAGACTCATCTGTGCTTGCCCAACTCCTGCCCAACTTTTCAAATGCCCCCTTTTCTGTGGAGTCTGCTTGGACTCTTCTCCCTAATACCTATCCCTCCTAATCGCTCTTTCTGCCCCAAGAATGGGGATTTTTTAAAAACTATGGTAAAAAGCACACAACATAAAATTTACCATCTTAATCATTTTTGTGTGTGCAGTTCAATAGTGTTAACTGTGTTCACATTGTTTCACAAAAGTTGACAGAACTTTCATCTTGCAAAACTGAAACTCTATACTGATTAAATAACAACTCCCTTCTCCACACCCCACCATCTCCTGGTAACCACCATTCCACTTTCTGTTTCTGTGAACTTGACTGCTTTAGATACCTCATATGTACGGAACCATGCAGTATTTGTCCTTTTGTGATTGGCTTATTTCACTTAGCACAATGCCCTCCAGGTTCACCCGTGCTTGCTACATGGTTTTAGCATGTGACAAGATTTCCTTCTTATTTTATGGTTGAATAATATTACATTGTGTGCATATACCAGATTTTTTTTTCATTTGTATATTGTTGGACCTTGGATTTTTCTACCTATTCCTCTTGTGAAAAGGGTCAGAGTTTAGAAGTTGAATGGGCCTCAGTTGGATCTTGGCTTCCAGGATCACTTGAATTATGAGTCTGAGTCCTTCATCACTTGCTAATGTGCCTAATGGGGTTGTTGGCAAGGAATGAAATTGTGCATATGAAAATGCCTGGTGCATAGCAAGCTCCCAGTGAGTGGTAAGTGGGACTTATTCTCATTACCCACTTTCCTTCTAGAGACAGATCCCTTTGGAGGTTTATAGGACCGTGAATTATTGGACCCCCATTCATGAGGTCAGCTCAGCATCTGGTGAGTCTTAAAACAGTGCATCTAAAGAGCGCCTAGGCCTAGAGAAGGTCAGGGACTTGCCCAAATTCACATAGTCAATGGCCATGCCAGGATTAAACCCAGATCTCCAGCCTCCTAGCCTGAGGACCTTCCCGGTGCAGTCCCCAGGATCCACAGGTCTTGTGCTTAGGGAGGGACTGGCTCTCCAGAGGCCTGTGTCTAATCCTGCAGCATTTAGAGTTGCGGGAGGTGGGGAACGAGAACAGGGAGACGAGCATCTCAGGCTCTTCTCTGACAGGCAGAGGCAGGTGGCATCCACCAGGCACCTCTGATCATCACCTTCTATGGCTATGGACAGTGGAGCTGGCCCAGTGACGAGGAGCTCGTGTCAAGGTCCTTTGCACTGTGGAGGCTTTTCTAAGTTCCCTGCATTGTGCCTGGGAAGTCATTCTCTGGTTTCGCTCATTCAGTTTTCATTTGCTTATTCCTGCCCTCGGTCATTTATTCTGAACCAATCCCTGCGCCCTGCTGTGGGCCTGGAGACCAATCATACCTCAGAGGCGGTTAGTAAGACATCACAGTGAACAGTGTGGATTCTGGGACTAAATCGTGTGGGTTCAAATCCTGGCTCTACCAGTTAATAGCTCTGTGACCTTAGGCAAATTACTTAACCTCTCTATGCCTCAGATTCTTCTCTAAATTGGGGGTAGTGATGTTCCAGCTACTATTGTTACATAACAAGTCACCCTGAACATTTGTGTCCTTATATAAGAACAATCATTTTATTATCTCCACAGTTTCTATAGAAAAGGAATTTAAGGTGGGCTCAGCTCAGTGGTTCTGGCTCAGGGCCTCCCACATGGGTAACAGTCAGATGGTATCTAGAGTAGCAGGGAGCCGGAGCAGCCAGAGGTTGGTCGGGCCTCTCTTGTTCTTCATGTAGCCTTGGGCCTTTGTTTCTCTCCATGGCTCGTTTGGGCTTCCCCAGAGTATGGCAGCCTCAGAGCAGTCAGATTGTATACATAGTGGCTCAGGGCTCCAGCAGGAATGTTCTGGTGAAGGAGGCAGAAGCTGCATCACATTTGATGACCTGGCCTTGGAAGTCTTGTAGTGTCACTTCAGCCATTGGTATCCAACTCCAGATTCAAGTGGGGGTAATGTAGACCCTGTATCTCCATGAGAAGAGTGTCAGAGTTACATTGTAAGTCACTGCAGATGTGTTTAGAAATACAATCAACCACAGTTGTGAGAATGAGATGAGTCAAAACATAGGAACTGTCTAGAACAGCGCCTAGGCATTGTATATAAGTGGTAGTTGTATATATGGTCAAAAGTAAGGGTGATTTTGAGCATAATGTAATTTACTTGTGATGTGCTGACTTTAGGACCTGACTCCCACTACAGAAGCCGATTCACTGAGTCACAGCATTTTCCATTTGGGTACTGAAGGATCTATAGGAGCTCACCAAGCAGAGACAGGTGGAAAGGCATTCCTTGCAGAGTAAACTAGCTGTGTAAGTGTGTAGAGTTGTTAAGTAGAGTTCCTGGGGCAGGAACTTAGCTCCAGGTGGCTGGAGCTCCCCTGAGGTGAGCAGGGGGAGGCCAGGTAGGTGAATTGAGGCCAGGATAAGAAAAACTTTTTGTATATGGGGTTTGATCCTATAGGTCCCAAGGAGTCCTTAGCTGTTTCTCAGGCAGCCATGTGAAGGGCTGGAGTGCTCTAATGGGGAGCCCCTTCCGAAGCAGAACCAGCAGGACTTGGGGAGGTACTAGACTTAGTGGGTAATAGGGAGAGGTCAGGAGTGATGGGGCTCCAGCCCAGGTGTTTGCCTGGGTCATTTGCATCAGCTTTTCACATGATATGCTTACCCACCCTGGCTTGCTTTCCCTCCATTTCTAGTATGTTAGATACTTTGCTGTTTTTTTCTGCTCAGATTAGCTCACCTGAAGGGGAAGGAAGAAGGGTTAGAGGGTGGCTGCCCTGGGAGGCTGGATCTAGAGGAGCTGGCAGCCAACTCTGGGTTAACGGGCAGGGCCTTCTCCTCTGCCCTCAGGCATGTCTGTGGAGAATAGCTCCTGCACCTCTAATGGTCTCCCCTTCAAACACCCTTCCCTACTCTGCAGTCCTGCAGGGTCCAAATGGAACAGATCCTGGGGGTTGTGATATCCAGCTCCCCTCATGTCACAGATGGGGAAACTGAGGCTCAGTGACTTGCTCCAAATCCCACAGTGAAGGAGCCAGCCTCAGGCCCTCGTGTGGCTGCAGCCAAGTGCAGTGGCATTCGGGGCTGCCTCCAGTTCAGGTGGGGACGGGTGCTCTCGAAGGGCAGGGCACCTCCCTGTTAGACCCTCCACCCACCACTCCACCTGACGCCTCCTCCTAGCTACCCTCAAAAGCCAGTACTCCCTCCAGAGGGAGGTCTCGGCTGGGACCATGATTTCAAGGAAAGTTAAGAAGGGCTTAGCAGCCCTGTGACCCTGGGGAAGTCACCTCATCTCTCTGAGCCATAGTTTTCTCATCTGTAAAAGGAGTATGAGAACACAGAGCCCAGCAGGGGTGTCTGGAAGTTTAGGTGAACTTACCGGTGCTGAGGTCTCTCTCTCTTATGCCTGGGAAAGGGACCCACCGAGGTCACCCAGAAGGAACATTTGAGCAGTGAAGGAGGCAGTGGCCCACGTCCATGTCACTTTCAGGATGCTGTCTGTTCCTGTGCACCTGTCTACACACCTGTGTGTGCCTCCCTGCGTACATGTGCTTGTGCCTTGTGCCCGTGTGTATTTACCTGGGTCTATCTGTGCACATGTGTTCTGTGTATTTGTATATGTCTGCCTATATGCATGTGTGTGCACTTGCACATGTGTGTGGGAGGTGTGGTTCCCTCCAAGTCCCCATTGATCTCCTTGTCAATGACAGGCTAGAATGTCTCTAACAGGCGACAAAGTTCTCCTGTGTTTTAAGCCTGTGGGGGCCTATGGACTGAGGGGAGACCCAGACCTCACTAGTGGAGCAAACTGAGCAGAAATATAACTTCTCAGATGTGGGAACCCTCTCGTGGAGGCTCTCTGCACCAAGCTCAGGCTGGGTGCTGGGGCCCTAAGCCAGATCCGACGCTGCCCCTGCCCTCTGGAGGCAGCCTGGGCACTGCGATGTGCAGCTGGACACTGCATGGGTGATGACCTGAGGGCTGCATGGGGCACACAGACACAGGGAAAGGCATGCCCGAGGCTGACAGAGTTAAGGACTGCTTCCTACGGGAGACTTGAT